ACGGTTCCTGTTACACGCAATAGCCACATGCGTAGAATAATCTCAGAACACGTGACCTTCGTAGAAAATTTTGCGTTCAAGCGAGGTCTGCAAAACAATCTTCAGCTCATTTATGAACCTGCAGCATCAATGGTAGACTGAGACTAGGGGCTCTCCGGTCAGGCTGCTGTGGGCGGGCACTCCACAGCCTGGAAAAACCAATGCGTTCCGCCTACGCAGTACATGCACGGGTCGTGCAATACTTTGCCATAAACCTTGATATCAAAGAATGCAGAGAATGATACGGCTGACCTTTATTGACAAAAGGTCACGACTGACTCTTAAATGACAAGAGCTAACCACTACATATATCATTGGTCCAATAGCGCACTCTGTTCGGAATGAGCCGTTGGGAACGGACAATCGTTCATACCCCAGCGATCGTGACCTATTTCACGGGGTCCACCTCTCCCGCCAGGTGTCAGCAGTGTTTGTCAGGAGCGGGCTACAGCTACTTCACAGTCTGATTTATGAGTTGTGATCGCGTCGAAATGTGCCAAACGCAGCCTGGGCACGGCTTGCATGTTAGCTGGTGTGTGTGGTAACTCTGATAGACTAGGCTATTTTCTCGTAAAGCTATTGGTCTGGACTTATATCCGACCGGTTCAGCTCATTCAGTTTACTTCATTTCAGTATATTTGAAATAATCCACAAAGTGGATTTTACTGTACTACGTCAAAATACAAGGCACCCGCTGCACCTAAATTGCCTGTCATACAGGACAGACACATATTAAACTAAAACAGTCCAATTGAAACGTCAAGTATAAAATTAGCAGTAAGTCATGCAAATGAAATGCACGCCTTGATGACAGGCTTTTCTCACACATAACGTATCAAAACGCTTCGTCTTGCTTTTCAAAGCTTCAAAGCGTCTTCACGTCTTCAAAGCGTCGTACGTGGCGATGGTGCTAAAAGACGATAACGGACGATTCCGTGCATAGGCTGCGCGATATGAAAAGACGCGCTGTGTTGAAGCGAGCCTTCACGTGCGGAGGTGGAGGCTGGCCCTGGCAGAGGCTCCTGTTCCACACGAGGACACGGCGCACACCATGTAAACAGCACCCGGATCTCGACAGGTGAACGCCCTCCGGCGTCAGTGCCATGAAACCCTCGGCTGCGCCACAGTGCACCACCAGGGTGTCGATCCCCGGCCATCCAAGGGACTTTAAATCCGGGGTAATGTGGCGGTGTTTTTGTTGTCCAGTAATGATACTAGCCACGAAACTGACAGTTTTTTGTACTGTATGCAGCTGACCTTGGACAGCCCCATCTCACACGCGGAGAATACATGATATGAGGAAATACGTACGCATGAATAATAATTTTGATAATATTCGCTGAGAGGAGTGCTGAAATCAGTAGAAGGATACAAGGACGCCGTTGCATTTTTGAACTGGCGTGGTGTGCGCGCCCCAAGGCAGGCCGAAGCCCACGCCTAAGCTCTGATGTGTTTGGAGCTTCCACAGCCGTGATGTTGAAAGTTAAGTTAAAATTGGCTGTTTTGAAGTCCAGTTCGGATCCAACAAACAAGAAATCAATATTCTTTCATTCATTTCGAGAGAGTTAGCGCTGATATCTCAGGCTTAAAGTTCCCTTAAGGTGAGCTTGAGTCTGTTTTTGAGTGCATCAAGACCTAGCCCGTCAGGTTCAGCATATGAAATGTGGTGTCCATAGGGCAGATATCCAGCTGGGTCAGTAGTGAGCATTATGAAGATAATCGGGCCCATGCTCGAGCCCTGGGGCAAGCTGCACAACATCGGGAGTGTGGGCCGTCCGCCCCGCCCAATCTGCTCAGGACTCCTAAACCAGACAGTGTCAGTTAAGGCACATCAAGACAGCTTGGTGAGGAGGACATCATCGTCAACGCTGTCGAGCGTCTTCTAGAGATCGATCGTCGTCACCGACGGTATCGCTTCTTTGATGATGTTGGTGACCAGGCGCTTAGCAGCGTCGAGGTCCGAGATGTTCTACGGCCGGGCTTATCTCATCTGACCTATTACGCCCTGATTTGGCTTCAGGTGGTCAAGGGGGAAACCAATGCGTGGGCATCGGGCAGCGAAGTAACAGCAGAGCCCTGTGCGTTGCAATCTCTGCTGGCCGAGCCGCAAGTGTCGCGGATTAGAACGCATTCAACATGGGGAATATATAACCGTGAACTATTTCTGCTTCATCTCCCATGTTTGGAGCACTCTGTTAGATGGAGCGGGATCAAATTTGACGCGACCGAATTTGCCTTTTTTTGCTAGATGCCATGCATGATTTACGTATTTTTCAGGAACTGGGCGCAGAAAAGCTGCGGATGAAAGCCGCAGCATGCCTTGTTGCTCGCTTATCTTTTCCATTCCATTGCACATTGGTCACAATTCAATCCATTACGCTATCTCTAAATGCCAGCGGGCTGCCCAACTGTCAGCATCACGCTTTTAATTTCTGCTTCACCGTGTGCGCATGGCTATGGCTGTCGCCACCGACACCAAAAGCTGTGCAGTTCTGTGACTGCAGTACTGCGATGCGTTTAATCACAGTCTATTCACCTTGAGAATGACTTGGGTGATACTGCCATGCTAATGGCCGGCAAGTGTTGTACAGGTGTGAGTGCAACATGCGGCCTGCCATTAGGCCAGGCTAAAGACTGACCGAGCTCCGCCGGCAGTGCTGAACGCAAATTAATGGACTTCATAACGGGACCAGGGCACAGTGCCGACCGCAAATCCTATTATTTACGCCATTGATGTAGCGGGGTTGTGTAACGGTGTTACAACACAGCGCACTCTTGCACTTACAGTAATTGGGCTTAAATCAACGTCACGACGCGGACTTGCGTTGCTGTGGTCGTGTTGGTATGCCATCAACGCGGCTCTTGCCCTGAAGTCTACCTCATCCAATTGACACCGATGTAGACATCGGGTCCCCGACATCAACGTCCGGGCTGAACATCAAACTGGTCGACAGGGTCAGAGGTTTAAAGGTGACATGAACCCGGACCGGAAATGGACCGGGGCTGGGTTTGTACCGGGGCCTCTGCAAAGGGTCTTGCACGTCGGAGGCTCCGCCTACCCACTGGAAGGGTGTCGCTGTTGTTTATTTAGTGCGTCACAAACTATCATTGAGTGACCTTAATTCGAAGCAAGATTCGAAGGAGCTCTGGGCTACACGCAGTCTATCATTGGCCATGAAATCATAAATTACTTGTTTGTTATTCCCAGTGTGTTAATGGCGCAGACATTTTGATGTGTTGTCGCGGTGCATGACCCACATGTTTCTTTGTTGCACTAACCAACTTTTTCGAGTGACTCACGTTTATGACATTGGATTCAGATGACTTGTTATGCAGACCTTGCTGTAGGCGCCTCTCACCTTCCCCTACCCAGCTGTGCCACTCCAGTTCGGCAGATGACCCTGCCTCCAGTCTTTTTGCCAGGATGGGTTGGGGATGTTTTTCCATGTAAGGCCGTGCTACGACACGGCAGTCCCGGGTCAGGTTTCTTTGGCTAGATGCCAGGTGATCTTTACCTATCAGTGGGACTCATTACTCTGCCGTGTCTAACCGTACCACGGCACGACAGGCTCGGGCCAAGCCTTTTTAGCCATGCGCCAGGCGATCTATACCTAGCAGTGGTACCAAACGATTAAAGGCCTTCACAGATAAAGTTTACTTTGCCCTGTCCACCGCTACCCACGAGGCTGCACACATAGCCATTCGCTGTCCATTTCTAATCATTTGTACCCATCCGTTACCCTACTACTCGCAAAGTTCGAGTACTTTGGCTTTAAAGCAAGGATGAGTTTGATGAACGATGTACCCACCCTTGCTCTTTTGCGCTGAAAGATGTGAAATTACTGACAGTGGAGCTAATTATGCCCAAAAGAAGCGCAGAATCATCTCTTGAAGTATCTGCCCAACATTTCGTAAACGTGCAGCCCGTGCCCGTGACGGTGTACAAAACTTCCCAGAATGTGTGCCCAGCCTAACCCAACCTGATGCACATTCCATATGGATATCCATAGTTTTACCCAAACCGTGAAGCCCTCCACAACCAACGCACCCACTCTGGCACAGGCATCCAGCGCCGCTAGATTACGGGTCTAACATCTGTACCCCAGACAATGAAGGTCTCAGGAGACGACACCACGCAATCACTTACCCCGCCTACATGAGTCAACCAAACCGATGATTTTGCGACGATTAGAAAGAAAGGCGCAATTTCTGCTCATGTCAACGGGTTTTAGCGACGCCGCGCCAGCCACACATCGTATCGTAAATTTGCGATGGTGGGAGGGGGAATTTACGATTTTCGTAGATCACCCACAAATAACGAGGCGCACCGTTGGTGTTTTATGCATGTTTTGAGGAAAATTGCCTAAGTCTGACAGAAATGGGTCACAAAATAATATAAAAATAAGATAAAGGCTTACTGAAGTCAGATAAATCCATTGATTAAGTCATATTTTCAATCTGAACTATTCTTAGACGAAAGTGCGTTTCGTAAATTGAGCACATCCCCACTGGGATAAGTTATGAAAATTGACGATGTCCTCAGCAGCGCTGGAAACCAAGCCGTGACCACAAACCTTTCACACAAGGTATTATTGCTCAGTTAGTCTTGTGCGTATCATCAGTATAACATGTTTCATTTGTTGTTTCATTGCGATGTTTATTTTCTCCATTTTGCCGCATACTGTCAAAACGCGCCTGGCGAGGCCCGCCGGCTCCTTTTGGGGTGAGTGGCATTGTAAACCTGACAGTGTCTAGAACATTCCACGCACCGCGATACACTCCGAGCTTAAAAGTGCAACCGTTCCTTCCTCACCGCCCAGAGAATCGCTGGCATTTGTGATATGCTTGATGAAACAGCAAAATCTTGAAAAGACTTACGACCCTGTAACATCAGTCGGCGCTGCGCCTGAAACCGGCACCAAGTAGAAGAACTACTTTTTTCAGTTCGAAATCATGCCGCAATGTTATCAGCGGTCAAGGTCAAGGTCAGGTCAAGGCTATGTTAGTTCAGGGTCAGATTACGCCGACAGGCAATATTGCCTCCTCTTCCAACTCACATGACATATATAGGTCATTCGTCTGGTGGGTAGTAATAGATGTGTTATTGTCGGTTACGCCAACTCAAACTCGAACAAACTCAAACTCATCTCAAACTCAAATGATTACATTTCTTGCCCCCAGAAAAACTCATACTTCCACCACCAGGAAAGGCATGTTTAACGGAAATATCAATGCGAAGTGATCATTCCCATGCCTAGGCTTCGCAGCATTGCTGGAAACGTGGTGCATACTCATTATACATATACATATATTTATATATATATATATGTATATATACATATATATACATATATATATACATATATATATATATATATATATATATATATATATATATATATATATGTATATATGCATATCAATAATTGCTTCACCTTTTTATTTGGCCAGGACATGTTGGTATTTGAAAGCTGTTTATTTCCAGCATAATAATTTGTGACAAAAGAACCTGCAGGTCTCTCTCTCTCTCTCTCTCTCTCTCTCTCTCTCTCTCTCTCTCTCACTCACACACGCACACACACTTGTATCAACCGTGAATTACTGCATGCAGCTGCCGGAACAAGTAAGAAAAAATAGTGTGATCCCTCGATGATGGCGTCGCAACAGAATGACCTGACCTAATATCGAGAAATCACTCGACGTATCAAACTGATCACCCGCCAAGTACCGAGAGTTTGACGAGCCGCCTTCCTTGCGTGATTCGTTTGGTTGTTCTGAAGCTGGAGGAGGGTGAGGGCTGAATACATTTAGCCTCTCTATCAACATTTAGCTAGTCTCTGGTTTGCTGATGTGTATTTTACTGTGGTTGGTTTGCGCAAGGTCCCCGCATGCTTGGTGTCTGCTTTAACCGCAAAACTTGGGATATAGGTACTTTATGCGCTTGCAATGTAGCTAGTGTTGTCTGTGAACGGGGCAGCTTGTAAACTGCCTGATATTTCACATCTCGCGGCACGTAAGTTTCCTGCGATTCTTTTTGATGGCCCGTTCCCCCTCCCTAAAAAACATCCCCACGAACTGCCGGAATCGTTCCCTACCGTAGCGTATCTCTGTCACAACGCAGATTCCCCTGTCTAACTAGTTTCGTCGAACGCAAACTAAATTTGAATAGTTTTACTGATTAAAGAAAGAAAAACAGCACTCAGATATGAATGGAGTTGTCCAACCACACAGCATTGTAAGATTTCTTGCATCTCCTGTTCTGGGAGGGTGATCGCCTTGTTTTGTTCAAGTTTATTTCAATAGCGATACTGAGCAGTGCATCTTCACCACCCAGGCCGCGCAGTGACGACCCTGCTCGTACACAGCCTGTCATGACCCGGCCTGCTTCAGGGACCCGCTGCTGCTCAACATGTTCGAGGTGCTGATCTCGTCGCTGGACGAGAAGTTCCAGCGCGTGAGCTCACTGGAGCGGGGTCTGCAGACGGTGCTGAGCCGGCTGGAGCGAATGGGTGCGCAGCTGCAGCTGAACCGCAACACGACGGCCGCCATACTTACCAGGTGCGAACGGCAGGGGTCGCCGCCGGCCTCGCTCACGTCACGTGATGTCATCACACAGGACGGCTTGTTACGCGGCAGCAAACTACGCTGATCCAATGTTTCAGTCAGGCACGTTATCAATCACCAAGTCCATTGATTGGGCTGAAATTGATCTAAAAACTTCGGCACAGTCCGAGCTGAGATTAAATATAATTGAAAGCTGTCCTGTCCAAATGTTGGAATGAACTAAATAATGCAATGCCGATTCATGAAAAAACTGAATGAACCTGTAATCACGCCTGCTGCATTTGGCGCCGTGTGAGCTTGGCCCGAAATGTGACGGACGCATGTGCTGTTTATTTTCATGCATACGCTTATGCTGCCGTATTTCACTGGAACCGGTTCAGAAATCGTGGAGACCACACATTTTCCGACCCATGGAAAGCGCTCATACCACGATGAGGAGTGCAACGCAATAAGTCGATGTATGTGTTGTCTTCAGACGTTGCCTTGACGTACCAGCCTGAGGTCAACTCACTGCTAAATGTCATGAGACCCACCATGTTGCACAACCAGCCGTCAGTCATGTGCAACGAGGCAAGCTTTTGCGTCGCTGTCTGTTCCCCTTACCACATGACATGTCGACGTCGACAAACTTGATGAAATCACGAACACTGGCAAGCTATTAACTCTCACCTTACCAGACCTCACGTGGAAATATCAAGTACGTGGTTGTTTGAAATCTGCTCGAGGTGCACGATCTACGGAGACGGCAGGTCGTTGAGCAGAATAACGGCGATGACTTAATACCTCCGGGACCTGACATACGAAATTCATGCTTGCTTTTTAGTTGATACGTCAAGGTATCGGCCCTCCTCCTCTGAAACACGAGGGAGATCACTGTGAAATGAAACTGGATCTCCCAGCGTGAATTGCAGTGGGAGACAAGCCAGAAATACAGCATGACTTTTGCGTGGAATAATTCCATTTAAAGCATAATTTTAGCACCCTGCGACGGCTCACCGCCTCAGAGGCAGCACGCGCATGCGGCATCTTGGCAATGAAACGAACCAATGTTGGCACGCCCTTACGTGACCTCTGATGAAGTCGCTTCATGTTAACTCATTCTTAAAGCTCAAGCCTCTTTCATCGCCTGCCAGGTAATGGACGCTGCGTCCCGCGCGGCTGACGCGAGGGGCCACTTTGAAGCGTTTTTGTGTGGCGCCGGGGATGGATCGTGCGGCTGGATCAGCGGTCATGGGCTCTGTGCCCCCTGGTTACCATAGCGACGCAGCTTAGAGCGCGATATTAAAACAGCGCTCTCACGAGGCAGCAGTGCCCATCGGGGGAGCGACTGCATGCGATGCGCGACAAAAAAAGAAGCAACTTTATCATGCTCTCGGCTGGAGGGGTCCATTACACCCCGAAGTCTTTTTGTAAAATAGCTTAAGAACGGCGCCGGACAGCCGCACCAGCCTTTGCATAGCAGCAAACAATTAAAAGCGGGTCTTTTGGTACAAGTAATCAGGCGTACCTCGTGAGATAACGGACCACGAAGTCAGTGGCAGGTTAGTCAGGCCATGACTATCAGCGAAGGCAGCTTCTAGGGAATCGGTCAATCTAATGCGATAAGGAAGTATCAGACGAAGTCATATTTAAGTCATTAAGTCATTCATAAGTCATAAGTCATTTTTATGAGATCGCTTATTAAACAACAAAACAGTTGGATGCAGGATTACAGAAATATAATTGAACTAGAGGAGGTATAAAGGTCAGACCGAGGTAAGAGCCTTACCTGTTTTTTTACGGAAGACTTTGCTTAAGAGTTAGTTTCCGGTGTTCATTTAGAATTTCTTGATAACGGACCGCAACAGACATCTTCCTTGGATTTCTTCAAGGTAAGAGTAGGACGCTAAGCTAAAATTACCTAGATCAACCCTTAAGGAACGGTTCACCATAAACATCTTCATTTGATGTCTTAGCGTCTGACGTAGTACTTCAAACTTATTCAAATGAAAAAATCGAAGCAATCTCGTTGTGTTTGGCTTCGTTAACCTGGTAAACACTAAGGCAGGTCACTGATCTCAAATGAACACCAGTGACTTTTTGCTTCGAACAGGTATCTAGGTCCAAGGCGATTGCATGAGGAGGTCTAGGGGCACTTTGGACACCAGTCTTTGGGCTGACTTTGTTTGGCCTTATTTGATCCGAAGGTACCTATTATTTGACACTCATGTTCCTCAAATTCTGATACAAGTGAGTTGACATACAGGCCAATCTACCCTGTAAATTTAGCTACTTTAGCTCTCTTGGTTTTTATCTTAGGGGTCAAATCGTTCCACTATCCTCACTCCCATCCGAGCGAAGCGTATGCAGCCGGCCGCCCGGGCGCGTGTTAACGGAAAGGAACAAAACGTTTGAACGCTGTTCAAACTCCAGTTGGTACATCTCGCATTCTCCGTGCAGGTGATGCGTTTTGAGTAAATGACGCAACACGAAAGTGCATCTCGATGTTGCGTGAACTTCAGGCTTTAAGGCTCGACGACATTATGGCGGTTAGAGCTTACTGCTGTTTGGCTACATGGCAAAATGAACTGATCGCCTGATGCGCTATATAAGACGTCTAAGGCCACGACGAAGGAGCTGAGCTTGAGACAATGCATCGATGCAGTTCTCTGGCGGCTGTTAGGTCTCCAGCAACAATCGGTGGTCGAGTCTGGCGGCGATCGAGACATAATGGTGTTCTTGTGTACCTGGCATGGTACTAAGCGCGCTAGCTGTAATTCCGTCATGCTGTTGGAACATCTCGTTCGGCGTAGATGTGAAGGTCTACTTATTCAAAAACGCATTGACGCGTTATTCTTATTCAAAACATGCGCACAGTGGTGACGGCATGCAAAGCAACAGATGACAGTGACATGTTTGTTCTGGGATATGCTACACTAATGAAGCCTTTCCAACGGTGAATTGTCGCTGCTGGCGAATGCATGATTGACTGCACGACCTCCACCAAAACGGCTGTTTCACGCAGTTTATTCAGCACAATTTGTAAATGCCTGTATGAGACAGGCTGGGGAGTTTGTTGAGCAACATCGATTGCTATGATTAGCCACAACTCTACCTAGCAAAAATACGCATTATACCTTAAGACTTAAGTGCCACCGCCCACCATTACAACTTCAGGACTAATAGGGGCAAATCCAGACCTCCTTACATTAAACTCCCTAGATACCTAGAGACACATTGACGACAAACATGGCCCCTCTAAAATCCCACCCGTCTCGCGCCCAAAGCTGTAAAAGTGACCACCAGCTCTGTTCGGCAGGATGGACCAGCTGGAGCAGCTGCTCTCCCGGCGGCCACCACCTGCCGGCAACGCCAGCCCGCAGCTGACATCTGTGGACGGCCGGCTACGGCGGCTGCAGCTGGCGGTCACTGAGCTGCAGCGCACGGTGGCCAACAGGACGGTGCCGGTCGCCCGGCCGGTGCAGATCAAGCGAAACCTGGCGCGGGCGCGCGGGCGAGGTCCCGACGTTGTGCCCGAAAGGCTGGTCAAGGTGAGTCCCTGCCACACTCACACAGGGCTCTGAGGGGCTGATCAGGGTGGATCACTGCCGCACTCACACAGGGCTCTGAGGAGCTGGTCAAAGAGGGTCACTACCGCACGTACACAGGACTCTGAGGGACTGATCAAGGTGGGTTACTGTCGCACGCACACAGGGCTATTTGGGGGCTGGTCAAGGTGTGTCACTGCCGTACTTACACGGGTTCCGGAGGTGGTGCCCGTTTCTGCTTATATGCTCAGGTCTGCGGGCCCGTATTCTCAACATTATATTTTTTGGGTGCATGACGTTGCGTGAAAATGTCCTCTCATGAGACGAAAATGTTAATGCAGCCCGGCAGCAGTAGACAAAAGAAAGGCGCAAAATCAGAGTTCTCACGTATTTCTTGATTTTGTCGTTCCATACCAGGACGCTGAGAAGATGTCGCAAGTAATCAACGAGCTGCGTGGCAAGGTGGTCGCCATGGATACAAAGTTCGGCTTCCACATGTCCCAAGTGTCGGAGAACCTTTCTGACATCTTCCGCTCGGTGTCGACGGTGTCCGGCGTGCTGCTGGAGGCACCGCGCGACAACAGCACGACCGCCCGCTCGAAGCTGGACGTGCTGGTTGACAAGATCCAGCCGCTGATGGACGTCTCCTCCAAGATGGATGAGGTGTGGAACGTGGTGGTGGGCACCAAGTCCTCGATCGACGACCTGGTGCCCAAGTCGGACGAGCTCATCCACACGACCAGCCGCCAGGAGCGCGCCATCAACGACATCCACAGCGACCTGCAGGAGCGCACCAAGCAGATCATCGACAACCTCGGCATGGTGGAGCAGCGACTGAGCGAGGAGCGGCCGCCGTCGACTGGCGCCGGGCCGGCCCCCGACTCCGGCGACCCCAGCTCCGCCAGCAAGCGCTACATCCGTCCGGTCACATTCCCGACGCGGCCGGCGTCGCTCCCGACCCGACCGGCCACCAGCACGGCCGCCGCGGTCGGCCGGCTCGACAAGGAGGTGAGCGCCGCTGGAGAGCGGCGGGCACGGCGGGTTTCGCTGCGGGCGGTGCGCGTGCTGCAAGCCGATGACCTTGGGAATGTGCCGAGGGGCAAATTCATTCCGTCGCCGCTTTATGGTGTTTCGCACTTTGCGATGTTTCGTTCACGTGGCACTAGAAGCATTCGGGAGATGAGTGTACGTCATGATATCGTTCATGTTTGGAAAAACGACTATATTTGTATGCAGTTTATGTGTAGAAAGTCTAAGGTACAGAAATCAAAGGCGCCTTTTTAACATGCCGGTGATCAGTCAAATCCGGTCAGAACAATCGACACCCAGTCTAAAACTTGTGATGCTCGGACAGGCTCCCTTCGACCTGCTGGACGAACAATTTCTGAAGGCGCACGAGAACTACACGTCTGTCGGCGACGCTCCGACCACCGCCGTGCCGCGTCCGGAGAACCGTGGCAGGCCCAGCGGCATAGTCTTCCCGGGACGGGCGCCTCCCTCCAGCGACCTCAACACCTCCTTCATCGTCACCACGGAGGGCAACAGCAGCACGAACGTTGGGGTGAGGCCCCGGTTTGCTTGGTCAGCTCCCTTTTCTCTGCGAGGAGGCACTGGTTTTGCAGGCCTCGAAGGCTGTCGTTTCGCGATGGATGCGGTACGAGGCTGTCTGTCTTAGCTTTATGTTCTGTGTGGGTGAGGTACATGCATCATGACTTACGCCTGCTAAGCGGAAATCTATGCCAAGGTAATTTCGCGTATTTATAAGGCCGCTGCCAAACACATGTTGACGCATGTCCACACTGCATTCCATGCTTATGAGATGATCACTGAAAGGTGCCCAATCGTGGTGTTATTGCACGACGGCGATTCTGTTCCAGGGCTACTCTTGTCGTGACTTCCTGGATCGGGGTGTTAACGAGTCGGGAATCTACTACCTGCACATCCACGGAACCACCTTTTGGTACCTCAAGGTGTTCTGTGACATGGAAACGGACGGCGGCGGCTGGACGGTACGCTCACAGGACAAGCAGTTTGCTCTGGCGTGCGGCAGTACCGTCGGAGGGGGTCCCTTTTGACATTTCACATAGCAGCTCAAGAAGGCCCCTTCTGACATTTGACGAGCCTTGTTGGCTATCTGAGAGATCGTGGCGTTTGGTACGGACCACAACGTGGCCACTGCTCGTTCCGCATACTGACTTCCTGGTGTGCTTTGACGGTGTTTGCTATCGCCTGCCGTGGCAGTACATGCTCGGCAATTCCCAGATCAGAGCGAAAGCGGGCGTCAAGCTGCACGTGAGCACCACCATCGTGACCAGCCCGTGGTTCCAGGTCATCCAGCGACGGGACAACTACGCCGAGGCCGACCAGCAGAGCTTCAACCAGGCCTGGGAAGAGTACAAGCAGGGCTTTGGCAGCCCCACCACCGCCTTCTGGCTAGGCAACGAGAACATCTTTATGCTGACCAACACCGAGGACTACCAGCTAAGGATCGAGCTGGAGGACTTTGACAACGAGAAGAGGTGACGATGGTTTAGCTACTTCTTTGTGTTGTCATAGTTACTCTTACGTCAAGCAATTGCTATAATTGGCTGCATTTGAACAGACAGCCGTCGAAGCAAGGCGTTTACTTAAGTAACCAGACTCACATATGGCTTTCACCAAGCCTAGCAGCGTGTGATCGTTGTGACTCTGGCTTTGCTGACAGGTATGCTCAATACAACACGTTCAAGATGCATGGCGAGGATGACAACTACAAGCTAGAGATCGGTGGCTACGAGGGTAACGCCGGAGACTCGATGAATGACCCCTGGTATGGCAGCAATCTGAACCCGTTTTCCACCTACGACAGGTGAGAGACAGCATCTGGAAGCCAGAAATGGCCACGCGTGACCTGCCTGCAGAAATGAAAACAATGACATCAGCATCTATCTACGCCGTTGCGATGCTAGCCCCAATACGCTATAAGTATCCGCTATGAGCTGTGATGAATCGATTGGCCATTTGCGATTTGGTGCGTGGTAAGTTCACAACCGTACGCCTCTTACAAAATGACGGATAACCCAGCTCAGACCCCGACCTGTCCTGGCGCAAGATGACGCCGAGGACCGGCATCTAGCCTAACCTAAATGAATAAAACCAGCATTGCACGCCTTTCCGACAAGTCACCACTGTCCATCCCCACAGCATCCACCAAGGGCACGACCGCGGAGCCGGACTGACCTACCCTACCGACCGCGGAGCTGGACTAACCTCACCCCACAGATCGCGGAGTCGGACCGACCTCTCCCCACCGACCGCGGAGCCGGACTGACCTCACCCTACCGACCACGGAGTCGGACCGACCTCACCCACTGACCGCGGAGCCGGACTGAACCTAACCCTAACCGACCGCGGGAGTCGGACTGACCTCACCCCACCGGCCGCGGAGCCGGACTGACCTCACCCCACCGACCGCGGAGCCGGACTGACCTCACCCCACGCGCTGTTCTCTCCACAGGGACAACGACCGGTCGAGCCTTAACTGTGCGAGCATGCTAAAGGGCGGCTGGTGGTGGCGCTCCTGTGGCCGCGGCCTCAACGGTCTCTACCTGGCGGACCCCAATGACGTCATCGCCCGACAAGGTAACCCGCCGACCGGCCCAAACACGCCGGACGGGCGGTGCGCGTAATCAGCCGCAACTGTCCCTGGGGTAGTCTCTGCGTGAAAAAAGTGATAGCTATATCTTGAGCGTCGTGTATTCTCTACGTCATCTCATGACGTCAGTGGTATTTTGCCCAGGTGGAAAAGGACGCCACTAACCGTGCCAATCGGACTCTGTCGTGCCTATCTGGCATTCTAGAACTGTTCTGATTTGGCTTGCACTGCTTGTCCGACAGCTATCGTTATATAGGACCGGGTATGCAGCTTCCATGCCCATAACCAACGAACTCTCACTTGATGTTATAGAAGCTGGCTGTCCTACTGTCTCATGCATGACCGGTTTCCGTGACTGCACAACTGCGAGATAAGCAACATTTGCCATTTTAATAATATCCCAGGGTCTGCCCAAGCTTGTGCAGTGTGATCCACCTGAAATGTCAATTTCAATAATGCAATTAAGGGTGCTAAAAAGGCGAAGTAGTATCCGACAAGCGTTGTCGAAAATTGTTAGCAACTTACATAGGTGTGGTTCACGCATACATTGTGGTCTGGGAACTAGACATGTAAGCCTCGGTCCACGCGCTCAGCGGCTACACGTGACAATCGCAGGAAAATAGCAACCATGGCAAGTATGGGTTATGCTGGACTTTGCAGAAGTGCGTTAGTGTTCAGGAGGCTGTTGTGGGGACATTTTTTGAGACAGATGAACACTGCTATGAAAACAAAATGTCCACATGTTCAAAAGCCTGTAATCTAAGGCAATATGTTAAATATCGTCTTAACACATCCCAGTCTTTTTTTAATTGACAGTTCGAAAGAAATGCCCGGAGACTGGAGGCAAATGTTGCCCATCCCGTCACCTATCCCTCCCTTTTTGGTATGTCTTTGAATTCACACATGTTCTCTGAGCGAACGCAGGTCAGTGATGCATTTTTTTCGGGTGATAGTTTTATCGCTACGTGGTACCGCGGCTGTCGGCCTCACTCGGGCCGTTAGAAGTGTCGCAGCCGTAATAAGCGGTTTTCTCCCAGGGATCAGTGGCGCAGAAAGTGATTTGTCTCGCTTGTGCCCGGCACAGTGCTCCCCGTGCTTGTGTCCTCTGTGGCTGCCTCTTGACCTGCTCTCCGTCGACAGGCATTGTCTGGTACCGCTGGCGAGGCTGGGATTACTCGCTGAAGCGTTCCGTCATGATGATCCGGCCGAACCGAGTGCGCGACAAGCCAGCCGGCGACGACTGAGACCGCGATCAGGGTCACAGGCGGAGCCACGGCCGAGGTCACGGCCGAGGTCACGGCCGGGAGACGACTCCGACCACCACCCAGATCACGGCTGAGGGTACGGACGGGGGCACGGCCGGGATCTTGCCAGAGATCCCGGCTGTGATCCGCACTAAACTCGTGGAACACCCTCGCCGGTCGCAAGGTACCGGACAGGGCTCCCACGAGCGGGAAGGACGCCGAATCTCCGCGCCGCGCCGTGCCCCCTGAGGCGAGGCCAGGAACGACAGTGGTGGCAGTGGCTGCGTGTAGCACGCCTGGTGCCTCGCGGCGGTCACCAACGCTGCCGCTCCCTAGGGCGTTTGGGAGTGACGTGGAACCGGCGCATCTTGGGGCTGTCGAGGCTGCGAGTCGGTCAAGACTAGGACACGCCTCTGGCGGCCACACAACGGATTCAGTGTGCACTGTGCAATTGTTTGTGTCGAACGTGTGATGCTCTCCCAGGTAACAGCTCTGTGCCCTGCGCATGACCTCCGATTACAGCAAAGTACATTAACGCTTCTGGTAAACCGCTAAGGACGACCTTACACGCACTCACAACCATCGGTAATGCAGAAGTAATGCTAACCATGCTTTCCATTGACGCTTTTTCTAACGTAGTATCTACTTTATAGCTGATCCTAGGCTCAGGAGATTATACTAGGTGATATCGGATCAGGCAACGGAAACTCTGAAACAATTCTCGTCAGTCGGAACAGCTTAGCTCGCCTGCACTACAAATGTCTTCTGTCATGTTCTCTGCGCACGCCTGTGCTTTATCCATCTCAGATACACAAACTTGAGCAAACTACTCATACCTCTTAAGCATTGCAAATTACGATTGTTATACTAATAAAGGACGTGAAGGCACAGTCGAATCTCGTACTGAAGACTCCGAAGCAAAAATAATGCGCTTCTTTGGAATATCGAGGCTTTTTTCAGGAATGCGCCTATGATATATACCGCCGTGGTGCATGTGCGTTTCGGACGCGTCAAATACCACTTTGTACATAGACTGTACCGCATGTCGGTCGAATAGCGAAGTATCTTCGGCTTCTAGTATGTGAATAACGTGTTGTTCGATAGTGGACAGAACGGTACGCCATGTTGATGTTAATAAAACGGCTGAAAACGTATATTTCCACGCGTGTTGTTCGCCCTCACGACAGCGTCTTATTCAACGTAGCACCTGACGGCCCAACTTGCTTCGTGCGACCAACGAGAGCGTGATTTGAGCGGGCATCCGTTTTCTGTCGTAAAGTACAGAATAATTGTTTGCTTTACATTATATGAAAACCTTGTACTTAACATTATTATACCAGCCTAGCTATCCCAATTTAGATGACCTATAACAACGTAGGTCATGGAATGCTTTATAAGTATCAGTGCACATCGGCAAGCACTTACTTGTGTACCGCCTGGTGCATATGGTTTTGCCCGTAGAGCTTTGTGACGAACATCCACCAAAAACACTCATTTTTCTCCACCTGCAAATTTACAACAAAAAAGTAATCGAAGATCGAATCGGGTCACACGAAGGTCATCTTAGGTCACATTAACCAATGGCAAGTCAAACTATACCCATGACTATGAATCCCACCTTATAAATCATGTTGGTCGATTTTCTTAATCTGCCGCCGAGCTCAGCTTGCTTCTGATTGGAACCAAGAAATAACGTATTAAGAGCAAACGCACGAGAACAGGATAACACATGCGACAGAAGGCTAGTTTTTAAGCACCTGGCGGACCTTCTATATCGTTGTTCACCATAACGGTTATGAACCCAAAACAGATGAAGTCCCATGTCAAATAGTTCCGTGTGAATGCAGGTGCAAACTAGGGGGTCAAGCTTGAATCCCGCCTATCTGCAATTTGTATACATACTTAAACGGTGGCCTCACTTCTACCGGCTACAGCAAATAGCAAAGCAAAATCAGTATATATGTGTTGTTAGGTATTCTGTACCTGTGTCCCTGGCTGGCACATGACCCTTCCATCCATAGACGTGGGAACGTTTCAAAAAGTGTGGGGGGGGGGGGCAAGCTCAGGGCGTGCTTCAGGTACTTTTTCTAGAAAGAAAGCCCAATGACGGGGGGAGGGTAGATAAGAGGCTGTTATCGCTCTTTGTTTAAATGTCATGGCTGCTATGCTAAATATGCACCTAGAGCTGTTTCTCGCTGGTGCACAATCTTGCCTAATCGACTCATCTATGTTATTCGGCAAATAAGGCTATCCGGCTTCCCAAGATCATTGCTCCATTTGAACACTGTCTTCCCTTTGGATACGAAATTCCACTAGCCGGTAAGCATTTTGGGTCACTGAGGAGGTATCTGCCTCCGCAGGATAGACGCCAAAATACGGCCTGGATGTAGACTGGTGATGATTTTGAAAGTGAATTAATGGCTCAAAGTGCGACATATTTTTATGCGCCTTCGTTTCCCTGGCTGCTTTTCCAGAGATAAGGCTTGTTGTAGCATTTTACACAGAAACAAGTTCCGAAACTTAAAACTGCCAAAACGATAGGATACAAAACTGGAGATTCTCCGCTAACACTCGCCCGGGTGGCCAGCTGGATACCCTTCGCTCGGGTGGGGAGTCAATTTGACCCTCCTGAGATCTCGGGAACTAAAAAAGCTGGAGGCACCAAGTTCACAGGGTGTGTTGACCTGTACAAAAACTAATTTAGGTCCAAGTTTGAGGCTGCATGGTTATGACCTTCGGGTCAAATAAGGCCAAAGAAGACCAAACTCCAGGTTGGTCTTTAAAGTGCCTCTAGAACCTAGATAACTGCTTCTAAGCAAAATCCCACATGCTCATTTAAAGTCAATGACCTTATTTGAGCTTTCGAAGGTCATGGTGACCAGAATCATACGAGATTGCTCTGAGTTTTGCATTTTGATCAGCGACAAAGATCACGCTAGGCAGTATGTACCTAAAAAAAGCTGACCCGGGTCATCTTAGGTCAGTGACCTATTCTGACCTCTAGGAAGTCCATGGAAGATGTATATTGCGGTTCCTGCCATCAATAAGTTCGAAATGAGCACCAGAGAGCATCCCATGCAACAAACCCTAGAGTAATAGAACAGGCTGGTTTTGACCTTGGCCTGACCTTTTAGCCGACCTTAGGTCAATTTAATTTGCTCATTAAATTGTTGGGTTGCCTAAGAAAACATCTCAAAGATGTATGGGTTCGTCTAACACTCCGTTGTTGCATCAGAATAATCGATTCCCTGGAAGTTGCCGTCGCTAAAGCCATGGCCTGACTTTGACCTACCATAGGTCAGCGACCTTACAAGGTACATCTAAATTGTTCTCACCAAACGATCCGCTATTGAATTTCTACAGCTATGCAAAATTTGGCACCGCTACGCTGCACCATTCGGAAGCCATTTTGGCAAAACCTTCGGGGAGGTCAATTTGACCCCCTACCCGAGCGCGTGCTAAAAAACCAAGCCACAGAACCTGTCATACATTCCTTATCTGGGCCCTGCTCCCGTCCGCCGTCGGCGGCCACTGCCCTGGCCCGACTGTCTCCCGCATGACTGACTGCAAACTGATCGTGTGTCTGCTTTGCTGCATATTTCTGGATCAGCATTATTACTAATTGGTATGTAAAACATGTGATTGACCATTGTCCATGATTCAAGGACGACGACTTGATTTGCTTTTGAGTGTAGACAGGGGCGTGGTCAGAACATTGCTGAGGGGAGCACAGGGTTGACAAAAGCCCTTTTTGTGGTGATCCTCAAAAATCCCCGGATATGACTTGTTAACAAAGGACACGGTTTTCTTCCTTTCATTGTTATTTTTTCTTGTAACCAGAACAAATACCAAAAGCTACCGTCAGATCAATTTTGCTGGCATCTTGAAGTCAATAAACTGCAGAAATCAGGCAGTTGAACGACCGCATGTAATAAATCGCCGGCGCCCTTTATTTGCAATGGTTTAGTGTAATCTTAACAAACTGACAGAATTTGCACCTTTTATCTGAATGTTTCATTTTCCTTTCCTTTTGACCCTTCTTTTGAAGTTCAGAATCATTTGTCAGAATGTGTTGTTGTTACAGAATGTTTGAATTATACAGACATTAATTATTCATCACAGAATCAAATTAACATATGTATTCAATTATTTATTTATAATGAGTTTTTAAAAAATAAGATATATTTTATACATTTGTTTGTAATAAATGATACATTAATTTATTTTTAATAAATGTTTTTTAATAATAAATGGAAAATTTTAAAATTCATCACAGAATGCCTGTACTACACAGACATTCACGACATCGCGAAGGTAGATTGTAGATCGATATGTTTGATCGAAATTTGAAGATGAAAATTTGATTGCAGAACGAATGGTCAGCAATGTGTACCAGCATGGCCAAGCCATGTTTGTTTGGAAATGTTTAGCATTCGGTCAGAAACGAGAAGTGGCACAATTTACGTAACATTGCTTTTTAATATGCGTGCTCGCAAATTTTCGCAACAAAAACTCCGGCCCCAGGCGTTGCAGTTTTCATTGTCCGCGGAGCGTTAGCCCATCTTGTGTGATTTTAGTTACCTTGACCTTCAAGAGGTCAAACAAGATCACAGACCTTGAACGATCATGTGGCCTTTTGTTTAGAAACGATTATCTAGGTTTTAGGGGCACTTTGGAGATCAACCTGGAACTTGACCTCGTTTGACCTTTTTTGACCCAAATGTCATAACCTAGGAGCCTGAAACCGAGACCAAAGTAAGTTCAAGTACAGGTCAACACACCCTGTAAATTTGGTGCTTCTAGCTTTCTTAGTTACCGAGATCCCAGCGGGGTCAAATTGATCCCCTCCACCAGAGCGAAGGGTATCTAGCCGGCCAACCGGGCGCGTGTTAAAGAACCGAGAAGTGATGCTGGAATCTGGTGGTAGAACTGGAATAGTAAAGGTAGAATCTCTATTCTTCGTGTTTCATTAACTAATAATCTGTCTAGAAGACAGATTAATACGGCACCTGCCGTCTGGTGGCACTTGCAGTGACCGACACAGTTCGGTTTTGCGGAAGATGTAACCCAGGTCATCGCTGCCCTTGCTCGCGAGGTTGCGGGTGGGCATGTTCAAACCTTTTGATGCAATTTTTCACAAATCCATTTTGACAAAAATGAACGCTCTCAGGCAACCATGGGATGGCCTTATTCGTTTTTTTCAAAAATTATTTCGACCCATTCTATTCAACCATAATAGTTCCCCCACTATGCTCAATTATAATGACACCCCTTACTTCCTTCCGAGCAAGGGATTCCCTGAGTAGGGCACCAGGGGCACGATGCCGGCTCCGGTCAAGGGCCGAAGGGCCACTCCGTCCCATCGCGAAGTGTCTTTTGGCTGTCACTCCAGCAACACGGGGCGAGATCTCCTAGTCGATCCGAAGACCATTAGAAGGATATATCGTATTGTTCCCCTTCCTGGCACCAGACGCCTTCTGACCCGCGCAGTTGGCCCCAGATCAGCACAGGAACCCTCAATGACGCAACGACATCCCTGATAGCCGTAGGTGGTCCAATAATTGTCACATAAACTCCAGTTGCATGTTTTTCTGTGTTCTTCAGAGACATTGAGGACTCCCTGAAGATAGATTGTAGATGAAATGGGGTCCAAAATTTGTATTAGCATGGCTGATCCATGTTCGTCTTCAAATGCTCAATGTTCAGTTGGAATTGGTTCCCGATAAAAAAGCCTTGTAATATGGTTTTGAACATGAGCGCTCGCAAATCATAACAGCCTCGACGTCTGGCGTTGCGGTCTCCATGGGCCGCGCGGCGTCGGCCTGCGGCTGTGATATTAAGCGATGGTTAATAAACAAACGAAAAAGATGACGCATCTTGAGGAAGATAGCTGGTGAACTAGGTGAATGGGCATGTATTAAGTGTGGTGTAAAATTAAGCTAAACGCAACTTTAACCTGGAGAGTGAGAGGCTCGTTAGCACTGCTGGCCCCCACCTTGAAAAGTGAGTGTGTGTGTGTGGGAGGGGGGGGCATGGCTCCCTGTCTTCCCCCCCCCCCTCTGTTCCTACACCCATGCTTCCATCGTCTTATTGCATCACTTCGTCATTTGGCTTATCCCCGTTCATCCTAAGAGG